CGACGACGGCGGGGGCGACCGCAGCGGCGTGAGGGTCGACGGGCCTAAGCCGGCACCTTCCTTCTCCTCTCCTTCTCCTTCTCCTCCTCTCTTCTCCCCTCCTCTCTTCTCCCCTGCCTCCTCCTCCTCTCTTCTGCAGTGGCCGCCGGTGGGGGAGGTGGCCGCCGAGGGGAACGCGCAGGCGGGGGAGGTGGCCGCCAAGGGGGCCGGCGCGGGCGGTGGAGGCCAGGCGGGGGCGGCGGCCGCGCGAGGACCCAGCGCAGGGAGGCGTACTGGGACGGGCCGCGCGGGCCGCGGCGCGAGGCGCCGGCGCGGGGAGGCGGATGGGGACGGGCGCCGCGGGGGCCCGCGCGGGGAGGCGCGGTGGCCGGGGTGTAGGCGCGGGCCGGCGATGTACGACGACGGCGGCTGAGGGAGAGAGAGGTGAGAGGGAGAGAAATGAGAGAAAGAGCGCGCCGGCCGGGCGCGGGTGAAGGGATAAGGGCCGAGTGCCAGATCGGCAGCACTCGGCAAAGTCAATTTTCTTCGCCGAGTGTCGTGATCTGGTACTCGGCGAAGTTTTAAAAAAAATTCAACAGCTTTGCCAAGTGCCAGCTGGGCGGCACTTGGCAAAATAATTTTTTTTTGTTTTTTGTCACCAATTTTTTTTTTGAAGCGAACATGTTTAAATTTGAAACATTTTCATTGCCTTTTGGCATATTTCTATAGTTTATTTTGTTTTGTTGAATTTTTCCGAAAAATATAAGTTTGAACTGCAGGTGCATCGAATAATGGATTACATTCGTTCAAAAAAAATTATCCTTGTTTCTTAGTGTAAATTTAAACTAAATCCAGGAACTGTCTTGAAATTTCGATCAACGTGCTCACGGGGCAACGCCGGAAACTTGCGTGGGAGTGGTTTTTTAATTGTATAAAATGCGAACGAATTCCGAAAATCATGATTTTTTCCACGGCATACGCATACGATATGGCGACAACTCGACAAGTTTCATGATTTTCGAGACAGTTCCTGGATTATTCCATCTGATTCCAAATTCCATCACTAATGTCTTGACCAATATAACGCCATTTGGCAGTCATCATCCAGAACTGTTGTTTTCATTTGATGACAAGCTATCAAGCACATCACTTCCTCTGTAGTTTGACACACCAGGATCAGGGCTAAATGACTGCTGACTGGTCAGAGAACACGATGACGTTGAGGAACATTTGTCAGCAGCAGCGCCCGAGACATCAAAGTCTGTATTTTCCAGGAGACCGTCAGAGGCGATCCTTGCATCTCGGAATGGTCCAATGCACTTTCCCTTTGCAAACTTGATGCAAGCCTGCTTTGCTGCCTCAAGACAAGCAGCCATTTCTCGCTCTTCACATCTCTCTTTCTTCATAGTCAGTCGGGGCAGCAACAAATAAGCCTTTCCACCAGGGAGGCTTGCATTTGCATGATGCGCTGATTGAGCACCCTGACCGTGCACCAGCCTGCAAAGATGTGTATCAGCATCTTGTTATTTCATTTTGAGGGGGACAAAGGAACTCTTATGAAACAGAATCTAGTACTAAGTACACTACACAAATGCATGTGTCAATTGTGAATGGTATATGCAATGCAAATGAAATATGGCAAGCTCAATATTTCAGGTCTGCAGGAAGTAACATAACAGGAAATACAGTCTAATCTTTGGAAAGGAGCTGGAAAGATGCAGAAGCAAATCGAACAAGAACCAGCGAAAAAACCGAAATCACAGTTCAAACCAGACCAGTTCGGTGTGAATATCGGACATGTCCGATATGCCATCTTCCAAGGCAGCATAACTAGATTTGGGAGAAATTGAATTTACTTCTGAGATCATTTATTGACATGCATATCTCTTAGAAAAAGCAACAGTAAGCCATGAAATTTGACAAACTTTCCTCGCTGCTCTTCATAAGGCCACATCAAATTTGACAAAAAAACTAGGTAACATGATCATTTTTTTAATAAAGGCTGATATCATACAGAAGATAGCTAAATCCCGTACGTGTTCTTTTTCTAGAACACGCAGGAGAGCTACGTATCATTATAATCATTATATTAAGAGAACATACAATGAGTTGTAACTGCAATTATGTTTCCCATGTCAATGACAAATTCTTGGTTTAGCCTTGATGTTATATCAGATGACTATCAATACGAGAAGCGGGTTTGCCATGTGTACTGTGGAGCAGTTGTCAACCACAACAACTAAAGCTAAGTAGCCACGAGCTGGTTTGCCCTCTTTAATGTATGCAGCTGTTTTACTTACTGACTGGCAGAACTTGAGCCAGGCAACTCGGCCAGCTGCAATGACAAATAAATAAATCCCTCGCACTCCAGGTAGGAGATAACAAGGGGGGGGGGGAATGAAAATAAACTCCTCTGCCTTAGTGGTGAATCTAATGATGAATAGCATTTCAGACAAAACAGATGTGAACATAGGTTTTTACTTAAGAAAATAATTGAGAAGATATACTGAATAATAATAGAAAACATAGCCCATCTCATAAAAAAACAATTTTTTTTGTGCGTAAAAGTATGCATATTAGATTCTAGCTAATGTTGTCTAAATAATCGCAAGGGAGGCTGTTTTCGCAGAAGACAGGGCACAGGCGTTTGACTAATAAGCCAACTAATCACTGTCAGATAAGAATAGATTGTGATTTGGCACAGTGTGTAAAAGCATCATAGCTGAGACATGGGATAAACAGAAAACTACATTGAGAGAAAACAAAAACAATTGGGGGCATGAAAGGACGAAAATCCGTTAGAATAAGCTCAACCATTCAACTGATCTATATTTACTGACTCCATAACTGGCATTCCACAAAGAAAGCATCAAAACTTAAAAAACAAAGGTGAAACATAGCCTGATGTTATGGAGAACTTCAACCCCAACCACTGAACTCCAGATGCCAGGAGATGGTTTGCTCTCTTTGTCGACTGGAAATCTGGGATAAACTGAAAACCACATTGAAAGAGAAACACAAATTTCACAATGAACGAAAACAAACAGAAATGGGGAATGGAAGGACAAAAAAGCTCAAGTCCCCAACTAGCCTTCTTTTACTGATTCCATAACCGGCATTCCAGAAAGAACGCATGATCACAAAGTAAGAATGGGACATTGTCAACCCCAACCACTCAACTCCAGTAGCCAGGATCTAGTTTGCCCTCTTTGATGTCTAATATCATAGAGAAGGATCACTAAATCCTATACAATATGTTCTTAGTGTGAACTGTGCTTGCCACTTGTCAATCACACCCTGTTTCAGCCTTGATACTAATAAATAATATTAGATGCAGATAACGATACAAGAAGTGGATTTGACATGTACTGTGGAGCAGTGTCAACCACAACAACTAAAGTTAAGTAGCCATGAGCTGGTTTGCTCTCTTTAATGTATGCAGCTGCTATACTTACTGACTGGCACACTTGAGCCAGCCAACTTGGCCGGCTGCAATGGTAAATCAAACTCTTTGCACTTTAGGTAGGAAAAGGTAGGAGAGAACAAGAGAAAAAAAAGAGAAGGGATGGAGGCTCTGTCTCAGTGACAAAATCAATGATCAATAGCATTTGAGACAGAACATAAGTAAAAGAAGATTTTCACTAGAAGAAGAGAACAAAAGTTGCACATTCTTGGGAAGCTACATTGAAGAATAAGAGAAAACATAACTCAGTTGATTATTAAAAGTTATAATTTTTTTTGTGAGTAGAACCATTTATAGTGTATTATAGTTAAGGTTGTGGAAAAAATTGTAGGGGAGGCTGTTTTCCCAAAAGACAGAGCACTAGCATCCAGTTAATCAGCCAACAACTAATCATTGTCAGACAAAATTGATTGTGGTTTGGCTCAGCATGTAAAAGCATGATAGTTAAGACAGCTGGGATAAAGTAAAAACTACATTGAAAGAAAGCAAATACAAATGGGGCATGGAGGGATGAAAAACCGGACACCTGAATAAGCTAAAGCACTCGAGTGGTCTAGGTTTACTGACTCCATAACCGGCATTCCACAAAGAAAGCATCACAAACAAACCACAAGTGAAACATAGCCCAATGTTATATAGCACGGTCCACCCTGACCACTGAACTCCAGATGCCAGGAGGTTGTTTGTTCTCTGTCAACTGGGACAAACTGGAAACCACATTTTGAAAGAAAACAAATATAAATGCAATATTGAAAGATAAACACAAATGGGGCATGAGAGGATGAATACCAGCCTATCTGAATAAGCTTAAGTTCTCAACTGGCCTTTTTTTACTGATTCCATTAAAGTTGCATGGATACGGATACGCGTATCGGTATCGGAAGGATACGGATACGCGGATACGGTAATTTTCTAAGAAACCCGATACGCGGATACGTTTTACTGTTTTTTAATAAATATAGATAACAGCGCATATTAAAATTGTGAAAGAGTGAAAGTAGTAAATTACCTTGCAATAGCAATTACCAGCCAAAGCAAAGACCAGAACTCCGGAAGCATCTACATTCTTCAATTGTCCATTCTCGAGTTCTCCAAGACTCCAAGTCCAGAATTTGCACAAAAAAACCAAGTAACCAACTATCAATCAATTTATTACTAAAACTTGACTACTTAAGTATTCAGTAATCACTAATCAGTAGTAGTTCAGTACATCACCTTGCAGTTCATGCAGCAGCAGCCAGCAAGTTCCTATTGTCTGAACTCTGAACTCTGAAATTGATGCAGCAGCCAGCAAGTTCATGCAGCAGCAGCCAGCAAGTTCATGCAGATGCAGCAGCCAGCAAGTTCATGCAGCAGCAGCCAGCAAGTTCTAAAATTGATAAGTGATAACTGATAACAATAAAACATTGCAATTAATCACTTAAGAGTTAAGACTCTAAGAGTACTATTATTACAGCACAGAAGGTCTGCAGTCTCATCAACTCTCAAATATAGTAGTCTCAAATTTAGAAAATTAATAGAAGGCATTCAGGCTTGCAATTCATGCAGCAGCAAGTTCCTATTCCTCAATTGTTTCATTGTCATCCACAATATCAACCGGCAGCTCATCCAGACCAAAAGACACAGCTTGCAGTTCAGGTTCATCAAGGGACAGATCAGCCACTTCAAGAATGCCAACACCACCAAGTGAATCAAAAGAATCCCCTCCTACATCCCACATCCTTGTCTCTCCTGTCTTGTATGCATCAGTTCTTCTTGACAGATGCCTCAGATTTGAGTGCACAAAGACTAAATCTTCAGCACGCTCTGGAGTTAAGGCATTTCTCTTGACACTATGGACAAAGCTATAGGTGCTCCAGTTTCTTTCACAGCAAGAAGATGAGGCTGGCTGGCTAAGCAATTTCATAGCCAAACACATCAATAAGGGAGCAGATTGTCCATGATTTGTCCACCAAGTCATAGGGGAAACAGCCCATCTATCATGGATTGAGTCAGGATCATTAAAATCTTCTGAACAACTAGAGAACCTTGAGTACTCTTCTTTTACTTTAGCCAATTCTTCTGGCATGGGAAAGAACTTCTTGAAGCAAACCATCCTCATTTTTGATACCTCTTTATCCTTGTGGGGTGGTTCACGGCCAGGACCTTCTTCAATCCACTTTTTGCTATAATATCTACAATTGGCAATGATGATTTTAGTGAATGAAAAAATCTGTACTGACCATTCAAGTCAATGAAAAAATCAGAATGGCAATTTGTACCTTGGATTAAGTGAATGAGCTAAACAATGAAGTGGATTATTTCCTTTTGTCCACCTAGCAATCAATATGTCATAAATAACCGAGTACAGACTTGACTCCTCATCTTCTTGCTTGCCCTCATATCAATATATGACTTTCTTCACTCTCTATCATTGAATCCCACATCTCATAAACTAAGTGAAGACATGGTGTGTCGATTGTCTCATCATACTAATCATTTCATAAATAGGAGTAGTAATCTTAAGAATGTAGTCCACCTTGTCCCACCATACATCACTAAGTATCAAGTCCTTGACAATTTGGGCTGTTGGAGTTGGAGAATCATCTCTGACTTCTCTGTACACACTCCATTTGTCACTAATCACCATTTGTTGGAGGGCTGTTTTTACCTCAACAAACCGCTTCAACATACATACAACAGAGGCAAATCTTGTTTCAAAGAATAGAAAGTAACTTCAAAGGGCTGAACTCATTGAACATTGAAAGTCGCATGCCATGATTCATTATGAAATTCTTTATCATAGCAGCCTCGGTTTTAACATCATACATAAATTCAAGTTCCCCAAGCAAATAATTCTTCATCAGAGGGGTTGTTTCCTATTTTAGGTTCACATATACTTTTCAACATATAAGATTGAGGGTATGCACAACACATGGTGTCCAAAATATGTTATCATACTCAGATTCTATTATGAGACCAAAGCACCTTTGCAATTTAAAAGATTGTCTCAGTAATGATTTGTACTACATTATGTCGACCTACTTCTTCAATTATACCCTTCAACTTCTCAAAGAATGTATTCTTTTGATTTGTACTTGACCTTCACAATTATCACCCTCAAGAACATAGGTGCCTTGTCGAAACAACAACAAAATTGATGATTGGTCGCCTCGAGGATCGACCAACCATCGAGCAGATTGTGACTCCCTTCTGCGCCCATGTGCTCTTTGTGCTCTCCAACAAAGTCTCTATGTGCCTCCTTTCTTGCTTGAAGCCCCTCCCTAACTCTGTTGTAACCAGAATCACATAGCCTTGCATGTTAAGCGGCCGCAAGCAAAGGTAAAGGCTTCTCAAGATATGGATTTCTCGGAAAATTAAAAGATACCCCTCCGTAATAAATTGCTCTACTAATTAAAGCATCCAAGTGCTTACGGCCTTCCAATGCCCAAGCTTTTTCCAATGCGTAAACAGGCCCCTCTTGTTCCTCTTGCTATTGTCGTGAAGATTGCTTGAGGAAGGAGCAATAGGCAAAGAAGCAATTCTTGACTTGGATCTTTCCACCGATTCTTGCACCTTTCAATTTCCTTCCTCATTTCACTAAGCATTTCATATGTAACATTAGGACATTTACCTATTCCCTTTCCTCCCTCTCGAAAGCAAATGAGCTTCAACTCTAGTGTAACTACTCGCTTTTGCATTGGGACAAGACTTGCAAAGTGCCACATAGCATTTCCTCCACCAGTTCTAGGCTTCTCCGAATGGTTATATGATCCCAAAGTGGAGCCTTGATGTCAGATTGTGTTTGTGGCTGCAGATCCTACACTAGCAGCATTGCTCATATTTGGAGACGCCATCTACTCTCTACTCTCTAGTCTATATCGCATACAAGCAAAGCAACACGAACTACACTTCATCAATAAGAGTATAAGACTAACTTCATGACTTCATCAATACGAACTACATACACTAGCAATTTCACTAATGAGTAATGTGACCTAACAGAGTACTGAGACTACTGAGACTATCATCAGATTCGCATACAAGCAAATCAACAAGACCTTGAGCCTAACACGGCGGTGGGTCGTTGGACCATGGAGACCCGGCCATGGTGGGGAGGATTGAGGAGAGTGAAGCCCGACCTTTGAGTACAGAAGCGACGACGCAGCAGAAAGCCGCTCGGATCTCCGTCCCTCTCGCTCCGCAGCAGAGCCGAGGCTTGGCTTGATCACCGTCCGTCCCCGCCAGCAGCAGAGCCGGAAGCCTTGGCATGGATCTCCGTCCGTCCGTCGCTCGCGCAGCAGAGCCGAGGCGCGCATCGGATCTCGTCCGTCCGCGGCCGTGGATGGGGACGAGAGAGAGGAGGAGGATGAGGAGGATTTGGTGGCGGCCGACAGTAGTAGGACGCCGCCGAATGAGGCGAGGCGGACGCTGTCTTCGTCGTGCCGGTGGTGGCGGCGTGCGCGGGTTTGGGCGCGCACGCGCGCGGGGCAAATGCCGTGAGGTCTCCGTAAGGGATCAAGGGAATGGGACCGGTAATGCATCAAGGGCGGCGTGCGGGATTGAGGCTACCTCCGTGGGCTTCTAATGGGCTAGGCCGATCCGGACGACGAAGGATACGTGTCCGTTGGCGTATCCGATTTTAACAAAAATAACACAAAATCGGATACTCGGAGGATACGTATCCTAGGCGTATCGGACACGTATCCGTGTCCGATACGTATCGGATACGCGATACGCGTCTTCAGTGAAGTATCCGTGTAACATAGGATTCCATAACTAGCATTCTGCATTCCTCAAAGAGCGTATCATCGCAAAGTAAAAACCATAAGCGAGACATAGTCCAATGACTATGTGCCATTGTCAACCCTAACCACTGAACTCCAGTAGCCAGGAGCTGGTTTGCCCTCTTTGATATTTGCAGCTGCTAAACTTACTGCGTCGCATGACTAGCGCCAGGCACCTCGGCCAGCTGCAATAAGGAGACATGATCAGTTGACAGGCAAAGGTTTCCAGCTTTAATAGCTCCATCGACACGCTCCAGACAACTGAACAATGTAAGCTACACGCTAAATCTATTTGCATCCTACTCGCAATGCTGCAATTTTTAGACTAATCATGACCTCGCATAGCTTCACGCATCAAAGTTCGTTGCTTTGCCAACACAGATACGACCGAGGAGGGGAGACGGGGTAGTCAGGGGCCAGGGCAGATTACCTCGCACTGGGAGACGAGGCTGGCCTCGGCGACCTCCCAGGCGGCTCGCCAGCTGGCGGCGTCGCGGAAGGCGAGGACGACGGGGCCGTCGCCGGAGGCCGGGGAGGGGACGGGCGCGCGGAGGAGAGGGAGCGGCGGGTCGAAGCGCACCACGGTGGCCGCCGCGGAATAATCTTCCGCCGAGTCGTCGGCACTGCCAGCGAAGGCCATCTCGGGAATCGCCGCCGGGCGCCGGCGCCGGCGGCGGGAGGCGTTGTGAATGCTGGCTATGGTTTGGGAAGTCCCTTGGATTGGAAAAAAATTAGATGGGTGATGGGTCTAGGCTTGGGCCTGGGAGGTGGTAAGGGTTAGTTCGTTCTCTTTTGTTGGGCTCTACGGGGCCCTGGCGCCCTGCAGACTGGTTTCTTCATATCCAAAGTGCTTCAGGCGTTTTGTTTATTTCTTTGTTTTCAGAGCATCTCCAATAATTCCAAAAAAAATGATAAATCAAGGAATTTACCAAAAAGTCAAATTCATTAGAGAACCTTAAAGTTGTCTGCACGTGTCATATAGCCTCTAAGGTCTTAAAATGTAGTTTTAGATCCCTGAAATTAGTTTGGGTCCCATCGAGATCCAAACGTGTGTTTACTCAACCCGAAAGCTGACGTGGCATGCTGACTCGGCGTTTACACTAATATGGCAGATAGGATCCACATGTCAGCGGCAAGACTCGATCTTAGAAAAATCATATATTTTTTATATGAACTCAGATGTAGATGATTTGTATAGGAAAATTATAGCCTCAACGAGACCTGTAACTTTCAAGTTTTGAGTTTTTTCATTTAAGATTGTTAAGATGCTCAAAAAAATATTATTAAAATTCAACAATATATTAATCGTGTACCAAACTTGTGAAATGTCCTAATATGGCTAGAGGGGGTTGAATAGGCTATTAAAAAATTCTACAAAAACACTAGAGCAAAATAGTTAGACAACTAAATGGCACAAAGCGAGTTTTTCTCTAGCTCTACGAGGATTGCAAGTCACCTACCAATATGCTAGTGAATTATGATCTCTATGTCAAGCAAAAGCTATGTCACTACTTTACAACTAGTAAGCTAGCTTGCAAGAGAACTAATTACCACTAGCTACAACTAGAGCTCCACAACTAAACCTACACAAGTATACTACTAAAGTAAATACAAGAGGGGGTAGGAGTGATTATACCGAGCGGGGCAAGTGATGTGTCAATCAATATGAATACCAAATGAATCCCAAGAGACAAGTGACACAAGATTTTTCTCCTGATGTTTACTTGCTTGCTGGCAAGCTAGTCCCCATTGTGATGATCACTCAACTTGGAGGTTCACGCATTAATAGGCATCACACGCCTAACCCACAAAGGGTGCCGCACAACCAACACAAGATGAGGATGCTCAATATCACGAACAATCCACTAGAGTTGCTTTTGGTGTTCCACCAGAGAAAGCACAAGAACCCCTCACAACCAATCGATCAGAGGCTGGAAACAATCACCAATCCCGCTCAACGATCCTCCAAGCTCCAGGCCGGCTAGGTGACGGTAATCACCAAGAATAACAAGAGCTAGCTCAGCTCAATCCGCCCAACTAGTGCCACAAAATGAAAGAACTCGATGCAATGCACTAGAGGCTCTCCAATCCCACCTAAATATAGAAATCAAGTGTGCAAGTGAGCGGAGTATATGCTTTTGTGCTCACAAGGTTTGCTCAGCTGTTTGGGGGGTCCAAGAGAGTGGCCAAGACCGGCTACACCACATATTTATAGCCCCAAGCAAGCCACCCAACCGTTACTCAAACAGCAGCTTTCTATGGGAGAACCGGACAGCCGGTCGGTCCGATGCACCTAACTGTCGAATTTCAACGTCCAACTAGCCGTTGGCTGTCAGAGAGCACCGGACACTCCATCCGGTGGTTGAAGACGAATTATTTCCATGTTAGCAACTCTCGGGAAAAATAGGGCGGTGCACCGGACACCCTGTCCAGTGACCAATTTCACTGAGTCCCGAAGATCGACGCTCTCTGGAAAAATACGGCGGTAGCACCGGACAGGCAGTCGGGTGCCCTGTTCGGTGTACACCGGACGCGGCGGTGCCAGGCCAAAACTTAATTACGCGTACAGCCGGTCGGGACAGGTCCAGGCCACACCGGATGGCCAGTCCGGTGTGCCTAACACCTTGTCCGGTGCCACCCAGTTGGCAGCACTAAGAGCGCAACTTCGCCACTTTCTTCTGCTTTGCAAATGTGCTGACTCCTCAAGTGTTCCACCAACAAGTGCACGTGAGTTAGTATTTTTACAATCATTTTCAAAGGATTTTTCGTTGTGTACTAGGTCTATATGCAATGCATAGTATACAACACCTAGTGGCACTAGATGACCGAGTTGTCCAAATAAGCTCCTCTTTTAATAGTATGTTCATCTATCCTAAATGTGATCACACTCTCTATAGTGTCTTGATCACCAAAACAAAACCCCTATTTATACCTTTGTCTTGAGCTCCATAGGGTTTTGTTTTTCTCTTTCTTCCTTTTTAAGTCGGAGCGCTTGATCACCATCAAGATGTGGCCATCACCATCTTTTTCCATGGTTGCCAGCTAGCTCCACTACTTGGATTGAACCACCCTAACTTATCTACACACTTAGACATATGGTTAGTCCAATAGGTTTCATCAATTAGCCAAAACCAAATTAGGGCTTTCAACTTATCACTTTAGAAAAATTATATCTTTCTTGTATGCGGTCGGATAAAGATACTTTATAAAATTATAGCTCTCGATGAGATCTACATATTCATAGGTTTAAATTTTGTTATTTAAGGTCATTAAGATGGTAAAAAGAATAATATAAAGTTTCAGCAGCATATTAATCGCATACCAGGGCTTGTTGCCTTAGAAAAAGTCATATCTTTCTGGTATACAACAGATAAAGATGCTTTTTATGCGAAAGTTATAGCGCTAAATGAGATCTGCTACTTTCAAGTTTTGAATTTATTTATTTGAATTTATTTAGATTTTTTTTTTTAAATTGATATCATTTAAAAAAAAAATCTAAACAACTCAAATAAAAAGTTGGGATTTTTGGATCAGGACTGAATGTGTCCTAGTTTTGATTTCTACATTTTCGTCATTTTAAACCATAGCAGCTAACGCTGGTACAAACCAGGGGCAAATGGAAGCTTAATTCAAAACAAAACCGTGAGGGCAAAATCACAAAGTTAGAAAAATAGAGTATTGCATTGTAAAGCAGGGCAGAAACACTAAATTCCCATAAAAAAACCTGATGGCCGAAGGAATAGGAAAGATGAATCTATGCTAGTAGCATGCACAGAATCAGTGTGGTTGCTGTGCTTCTGGCGTTCCCAATGGAAAATTGGTTCCGAGTCTCTCCATCATTGCTTACTGTTCCTCTGATGAGTGATCGATGAGCTGTGTCTCCAGACTTGTATTAACATTTGGCTGTTTTAGTCTTTCATAGAAAAGAATGTAGGCCTGAGACCCAAGCACCTCCTCTAGAGAGGCATCTCGGACGTGCTCATCACTTACATAGAACCATGTGCTAGCAGCACCACTCACCGGCTGCTGATACCCAATCCTGCTCGCTCTCAGAAAGGTAATATAGTGTCCTCCATCCAATGTTTGTCCCTCGTACAATGACAGCAACAAGATGATATTTGTAGTCTTCATTTTCTGTATGCCTGAAGATGAGGAAATGACAATTACGAAAGATACAAAATTTATAAATGAAGTTAGAAAGGAACTTCTTTCAGATTCATATGAAAATTGTTTAATTAGTACTAAATGTTATTAGAAAAGAGAGTCATATTGAACTGAATAAACGTGTCCATACCAGGGGTGCATGAACTTCGTTATATCCAGTGTCTCCTCAAAGATCACAGGTTCCCCCAACTTCTGGGTCTTATCATGTGGTGCACGTGGATCATAGTTAAATCTCTTCAGCTGAATAATTAGTACAGGTGGTGCCTTGGTTATTTGACTGCATATCTTCTTTTCCACTTTCTGGGTTTGTTCCACTTGATGTTCATCTTCATTGTTGTCTGGTGCACTTATTTGTTTCTCATCAGGTGGATAGCTGGGTTGCGCCTTTAGGTGTGTTCCACTGTCTGACTGCTCAGTTTGGTTCGTAGAGGCATTTCCAGCAGCAGAAAAACAGTCTGTACAGCGCCAACCCCGGATATTCTCCCGGGCATTGAAGTCCAAGCAGTCCTCAACTGATACTGGTTTCTTTGACGGTATCGCCAAACTGAGATCAAGCTTCTCTCCGTCCTTATATGTGGCGTGCCCACATGCTTTGCAACGTAGATTTTTACCAACCTGGCCATAGAAGAGGGACTCGACCATGCCTGGTTCCTCATCATTCAAACCATCAAGCAAAGAGATGAGCATGATATTGCTGTCTTCCGTCACGCCGCGTTGGAATTTTGAATTGCGTGAGCACATAATATTGAAGAGGTTCTCTGGCACCAGCGGGATGCTGGCATCATTGTTGCCATAGGTTGTCTCCATGAAGAGGTTCTTCAGTTCTTGGCCAAGTGAACCTTTCAGAGGCAGAGCATCTGGTTCTAACATGCTCACACGCATGTTACCAAGTGCAAGGAGGCTCTGCAGAACTGCGTTGAAGTAGCACGTGTTCGAGATTCTTCATCCCTCTAACCACGCTCTGATGAGGCAAGGGTATGGCTCTGCCTGTTACAATGTTCTCACTCTGCACGCTGGCTACCCCTTCACCTGCATCTTCTGCATGCGTGTTTGATCCACCACCACCATTTGTTTTTGTTCTTCCGTGTCCTCCTGATCACTGTGTTCTTCAGTCTGATGATCTATCCATGTGCCATCCACATCTGCACATTCCACATTAATCCCATCCTTTCCATGGACTCCATTCTCCACCTTACCATTCTGCACCTGTGCACCTGCAGATCCCTGCATCAAATCTGATCTAGATGTGTCTGCTTCCTCTTTTATCCCTATTTTTGCATCAGCTTGCTGCATCTCTTGCTTAGTCTGATCACTGCCACTTTCAGTATTGTCGTCCCGAGCTGTTCGTGCTCCAGGGGCATTGTTCTCATCAGGAACATCTTCCACTGGCCACAGTTTGCTCTTCTCAATCCCACAATGCCATAGCAATGCCCAGATGTGGGTAATGAACTCGCCTCCTGACTCGAGGGACTTCTTGTGTGCTGCTGCATTCCAACTAGGGGCAAGGTGTACTAGTAATTCTGCCCATACCTCGGACAGGATCACCCAACGGTCTTCTTCACTCGGAACTGATGAGCTGGTTTCCCAGAATGGCACCTTGTTGCAGAATATTCTCCTTTCCATTACTTTGTCAGCATTCTGTGCTTGTTCTATTAATTTGTCATATTTGCTCTGTAGCGAGTCATGGTCTTTCAGTAATTGATCACGAGCATACTTAATGGTTTCTTGGAGTACTATCTTGGGCACGAGGAAGCTGTCAGGGATCATTTCAGGCTTTGAAACAAGCAGATATGCACAGTACCGCGACAGGCTATTTGCAATGATGTAGCTTTCCTGAAGTTTACCACTTAATTTGTTTTCATCCATAAGATATGATTTGGAGGAGCAGCACGTAGTGAAGCATGACAAGAGATTGCAAAGGAACCCAGGTTTTGTTAGATCGACGCCATTGCCTTTAGCCAGCTCTATCTCACAAAGGCTGGTGGCGATGTGCCATACCAGAATGATGTGAGAGGATGTTGGCAGTTCAAAGCAGGCCCATCTGTATTTCTCCCTCTGTCCTTTCTCTGGCAGTGACTTAATCGCCTTGGCGAGGTAAGCCTTCAGAAGGTGCAGAGAGCGAAGCTTGTCCAGAATAACAGGCTTCAGGCAATCTGGAATACTGATGGCCTCACCTAGCTCTACCCCTTCATCCTTTTTTTCCACCATTCCGACTGTTAGAGTGTGCAGCAGATTCCAAAATCTTGGTTTGCCATCGTACGACTGCAAGAAGACATACTGGTCAATGACACCATGCCACCGTTCGTTAATAATTTTAGATTTGAAGAAGGATAGTATTATTCCCTCTGCAAACCTATTTCTCACACATTTACTCTTGCACCGTTGGTATAAGCATGTGAGGAGTAATCTTGTCCAGTCCGATAGCAAGTAGTTAACTATCTCCCATATCTCCTTGAACATCATGAAAAACATGAATGCCCAAGTGATACTGACGTCGACGTTGAATCCATGCACATGGTGGGTGGTATCACCCTCTGGGGGTTTAATCACCCTGCGGATGTCCACAGAAAGCCAGCATACCACAGCAAAGGTCACCACAGACAGCGCGAGGCTGATGAAAAGTGAAGGGAGACCACACCAGAACACCATCGGGTAGCGGGTGTTGAAGTAATCATTGAGGAAAGCAAGCTGAAGTTCCATGACCCTAAAGGTGCGCATGTCATTCTCCTCCTCAGCAATTCTTGCTCTGATCAGCTTTTGGTTAACGCGAATAGCGTCCTCGTGCAGCGTCACATCTTCAAGCTTGCACCGGAGCAACCTGTACAACGCAAAGGCAAGGGAGAGATCCTTCAAGTCGTCACCCTGACTACTACTGTCGTTGTGGCGTTGCAGAAGGTGGCCATCAGACTGCCAGATTTTGTCCAGTGTGGTGAGTGTATCTATGCTTGTGTTTCTTCTTCTCCTCCGTTGCTGCTTGCAAGGGTCTATACGGAGAACATACTGAGGCTTCTTCAGCGTGACACTTCGCTTTGTTTCTCCATAGACCAGGTATTTGTATCCTTGCATTGTCTGCGGGTCACAGTCTGCATCTCTAAAGTTGCCAGGTTCACGATCAGTTCGCATGTACTCTGAAATGAGGCTTGAACTGTGGCCATGCCACATGGACTGAACCGCTAGATTATGTGTCTGGAATCTGTAGAAGCTCCTCAGTACCTGCACGCTCCAGAGGGACCAGAGAGGGAGCAAAAACTTGGAATCGCTGGATCCGTTCAGGAATCCTACTCCCAAGAGCTTGATTACAATTCTCCACTCAGTGAACCGTCGACCACGTCTGTCAGGAACACCATACCCAGAGATGAAATCGATGCTGTTGCGGAAATTGACAAGAACAATAGCCCACACTGGGAATAACTGATTCTTTATCCTTGCTGTTTTCATGGCTCCAAGGATGTATACCACTATGGAGTCAGACACAGTGTCCAGGATGTTAAAGATGGACATGATAATCGGGCTGTGAAAGCGGCGACGGAAGATGTCCATGATGGACATAGCAAGGAACAGAAATGTGACCGTCACCACCAGGAACTCAATGCGAAGCAAGATGTATGTTTTCTTATTCATCATGATGAATAAGGAGGATACCACAGATCCAGGACCCGCCATTATATTGGCTCGATCACTAGTCTTTCTGAATTGCTGTGCACGGCCTGCAAGACCAAGCTGTTTCCCAAACTGACTCAGAAACATATAGAGATAAATTAAACACACACACAACACACAGACAAAAGCGTGTAATGAGCTTTGTGCACATCATAAATCCACAAATTAAGGAAATATTCGTATATGATAAACAAACTTGATCCCCGAGATTAATTAGATCACAACATGCAGGTTTAGGTTGATACCGCCAACTCGATCTCTCCTAATTAATCATCATTTGTATGCAATATATATGATCATCCAAACCTACTACTACTACTACTACTAGTGAAATCAGTGGAAAACTGCACGCACCCCCATCATATTTCATTGAGTCAATCATGTAGGCGTCCATGAAAGCTGAAACTATGCTTATAGTGCAAGGTAATCGTTTCATACCTGGATCCTCAGTAGGTAGCTGCTTTGCAGGGGCGGGCCCAGGCCTAGGGCCACTAGGGCTATGGCCCTAGTCGTGGCCCAAGTAGAGCCCAGAAATACCCCCTGTGAATTTGGCCCGACAGCCCAGCAAGCACCGATCGTTGTCTCTCGCCCGACGCGCTCCTCTCTGCGTTGCTCGCGAGTCGTAAGTTTCAGAGTCGCGCCGCTGCCCTTCTCGCCCTCTAGGTCGCGCCGTCAGCTCGTCACCACCGCTCGCAGCTGCCGGCCTGCCGCGCCTTCGCTCCGCTCCGCCAGACCGCCGCGGCGCGGCCCCCACTCCGGCCTCCGGTGCTGCCTGCACGGCCCCGCCGGCCGCCGACGCCGCCCTGCTCGATCTCTTGCGGCCTGCGCTCCTCCGTCGCCAGCCGACAGCCGGACGCCGCCCCCGCCCCCGCCGGCCCGCCCTGCTGCCCCCGGCTCAGCGCCACTCTGGAGCAGGCGAGCAGCCTGTAGCCTGCAGCAGTGCGGGCGTGCAGGTCCGCCACTGGCAGCTTGGAGTTGGAGAGATCTGTGGACGAACGACGAGAACTGGTTGCCGATGCCAGACCGGCGTTTCTCTCTAGGGATGATGTGACCTCAGTTGATTGGGGCAACGGCCAACCAAATGAGTCCGCCTTGACGAGATAGGTGTCGTGGTTGGTCGATAAATAAATAAGGCGTCGTTTAAATTGCAAGTTTTTTTACTTTTTTTTTATCGCATTAAATTTTTAACACAAGTATGGAGTATTAAACGTAGATAAAAAAAATAACTAACTACACAGTTTAATTGTAATTTACGAGATGAATCTTTTAAGTCTAGTTAGATCATGATTAGATAATAATTATCAAATACAAACGAAAATACTACAATATCAAATACTGATTTCTAACTCCAATCTAAACAAGACCTAAATGTGGCTTATAACCACAAGTGCTAACAAACAGGAGGGCAAAAAGCTGTCAGCGCGTGACGCGAACTCAAACCGTGTCCACTGTTTCAAAAAAAAACTCAAACCGTGTCTACTTTTCAACACGTCACTTTGTGGTCCAGTTACCGCCTGGTCGATGATTTGTATTACCTCCGTCCGAAATTACGAGACGTTTGATTTTTTTAACCTAAGTTTGATCACTTGTCTGATTTAAAAAATTTATACAAATATAGTCAAATTTAAATCATTTGTCTTGTTCGTTTGGCTAATAAGTCATGACTGAAAGTACTGTTGGCTGATTTGTTGTGAGAGAAAAATACTGTTCGTTGACTGAAAAAGTACGGCTTATAAGCAAAACGAACAGGGCAATTCTCGAAGAACTTTTATTAATAAAGCAAGCCACGACAAAAGAAATAATATTTTGCACAAATTTTTGAATGAGAAGAGTGGTCAAACTTAGTGTCAAGAAAATCAAACGTCTTATAGTTTGGGATACAGGGAGTAGCTTATGGTTAGGGTGTGTTTGGTACACTTTCTACTGTCAAACTGTTTTCAGTTTTTTTTATCAAACGGGTCTAGATAAAACAGCTTCTTCATAAAAAACTGTTTTTTCAACTCTTCTATAAAACTGATAAAACAACTTTCTCCCTAAAAGCTATTTTTCAGCTCCTCTTATATGCACGTATCTCTAGGTGAAGCTATGTGAAGCTGAAAATATTAGCTTCTCATATCTTTCTCTCAGCTATCTACCTGAGAAGGTGTTTTACCAAATGTTTATGAAAACAGATTTAGCTTCACCGATCAAGCTATTTTGTGGAACTGAAACTAAAAAAACCGTGAAGCTAAGATGTACCAAACAGGTCTTTAGTCTCCTATAGGCAGATGATAGTGCTATTAGTCTTGTGGACCAGCATGCTCATGGAGTCGTGACTAGCACCTTCATTTAGACCTCTTAGGTAGCGTTTGGTTGGGAGTCAAGACGGGGTGGAATGATCCCGTCTCTGATTTCTAGGACGGAACGACTCTATTTTCTGTTTCGTTGAAGAGGGATGGAACCAACCCATTTTATGTTTGGTCCGAGGACAGCAAAAGCAGGATCACCCACTAGCAGGTGGGGTCGTCCATTTGTCAGGTTTGTTTTTCTTTTGTTTGTTTCTTTGTCCCCAGATCAAAATTTCCGCACTGATCACGGCTTCAGAAATTCCGCCCACCGCCGCCCACCCCACCGCCACCACACCGCCACCAGAGTGGTCGGCCTTGCTGCCCCATCTGCCGAAGTCAGCCCACCTCACCTCGCTTTCGCCGGGCGCCTCGCCGCTAGTCGAGTCACCGCCCCGCCCCATCCACGGAGTGGGCCCGCCGCCGCCTCGCTTCGCCTCTGCGCCCGCCCGCCCGCCACCCCTGCTGCCCCGCCGCCGCCACCGCCACGAGTCGCTCGCTCCCTTTGTGGAAGTCGTCGCCCACCGGAGTTGCCCCCCACAGAACGAGGCCGTGGCCAGAGCTCGTCGGGGCCGGTGGTGGAACCCGCGCTGGCCATCCTCTCTACTCTCCCTTCTCCCCTGCGTCGTGCATGAGCCGGCGTCCTAGGTGGGACGGCTCCCGTCCGTCAAAACTTTGGGGGTGGGGTTGCCCTGGACCTTCAGCGAATATTCCCATCTGAGGTGACTCTACCCCTGAGTGACTCCCAACCAAACACGGGCTAGGTGGGATATCCCACTTGGGATGATCCCGTCCTCGCTACCAAACACACGGTTACATTCCAATTGAAAATTTGGCAATTACATTGCGCCATGGGTAGACGGAGCAGACCCAAGGGGGAAAAGTAGATGACGTTCACCATGTGCTTGTTTTTGGAGCAGAAGATATCACTTTCCAAAAGCATCAGGGAAGCGGTTTGCGTTACACAACATAGATTGTGGGAAGGCGCTTTGCCTAACAAGTGAACTATTGTGGGAGCAGGGTCGGTGTTGTCGTTGTGCGTACTCATTGGTCGAAGGCCCTTGGCTGCCATGGAGTAGCTTTAGTGGTCCCTACAATGAGCCAAACAACAAATCCTTCTGGGTTGGGGATTTAGTGTGGAAAACTATTCTTCTACGGCCAGAGACGAAGAACAATAAGTTTGGCAATTGGTTACTAAGCTATGAAGGTCCAATAAAGGTGATCAAAGTGATATTTCGATAATACATATATGCTGGAGACATTGCAAGGTGATTGTCTCCCTAGAGTGATTAACGGGAGGTGAAAGGATCAAGATGCCCAAGAGAGAGGTGAATTGGGCTAATTCTAAAATTCTTTGCAATAATTAAACACTACACTTAGCCCACTTCACCCCTTGTGCCTAAAAAGTGTTTCTAATGTTCTACCGCACAAAAGTTTTGCAACCTAAGTCCTAATCCTACTCTAGCATGGCAATTCTATGAATGTAAAGACAAGAATTGAATTGCTCAAAGTAAAGAGAGAGGGAGGAACACGGCGATGTTTTGCCGAGGTATCGAAGAGTCGCCACTCGCCACTAGTCCTCGTTGGAGCACCCGCGCAAGGGTGTAGCTCCCCCTTGATCTGCGCAAGGATCAAGTGCTCTCTACGGGTTGATTCTTCGACACTCCGTCGCGGTGAATCACCCACAACCGCTCACAACCTGAGTTGGGTCATCCACAAGCTCCACCGGATGATCACCAAACTCCCAATCACCACCAAGCCGTCTAGGTGATGGCGATTACCAAGAGTAACAAGCAAGAACTCTCACTTGACCACAACAAGCCTAATGAGAAGGGTGGATGCACACTTGCTACTCTCTTTCGCTAGTGAGGCCTTAATCTTGGATTCTCAAATCTCAATCACCTCATTAGACTCTTGCACTCCTTGGCACTCTCAAGGGTGTTTCTTAGCTGTTGAAATGGGCAAGAGTACTCCCTCAAATGAATAGAGGAAGTATTTATACACCCTCATTCAAAACAAACCGTTATGTGCCTCTGCGGGGTGACCGGACGCTCCGGTCAAGGTGACCGGACGCTCTAGTCAGTTCACCCACCACTGAGCCATTTAAGTTGTGATTGGACACTGACCAGCGTCCGGTCAGCACAGATCGGACACGTCCGGTCATGAAAACCGCTCTCTGGAACATTACTGAAGTTGACCGGACGCTGGCACTCAGCGTTCGGTCGCTTTTCACTCAGCGTCTGGTCCCACCAGACAACTTCTGCTTGATCAAATAAACTGATCGGACACTACTGCCAGCGTCCGGTCAGATCAGAACTAGCATCCGGTCAACATTTGACCCTCCATTCACTTCCAACTCGCAATCATATGAGAATGAAGTTTTCTCCAATTGATCTTAGGGCTACTTAGGAGCTACCTAGTGCTAGATTTGACAAGTGTGCACCACACCTAACCCACTAGACTCACCTAGGTCAAGCTACTAGTCCATACCCCCCTTAATAGTACGGCCAAAGGAAAAACAAAGTCCTAAACTACTCTAAGTGTCTCTTCAACACCAAACGACACTTAAAACTAGTCCATTCTTAACCTTGTCGTCCATTCTTGGAAAACCGAAATGATTTTCATCGTAGGGGCATGACAACCATGATTGTCCAATCAATTTGCTATTATCATGACCTA